CACCTCCCTTGTACCGCAAGTAAAATTAGTGTCCGCCTGGGGTGAGGGATGTGCTTGAAGTTTCACTGGACGAAGGGAACCGAGTCCTCGCTGGACGCCGGGCTGAGGGTGGGCGTCCGGGCCGTAGTGGCGCCCGGGCAGCTGCGGACTCCCCAACTTCGACTCAGGCCCTTCTGCCCTCCCGGGCACTTACTGCGGTCTCTCAACTTTCACTGTCTAGGCTCTTCGCGGCTCCGCCACCCCTTCGGGACGCTGCGCGCGCTGCCCCGGCAACCGTCACCAGGGAAACCAACGTCACGCGCGTGACGTCAACACGTCTCTACGGGGGCCGAGGGAGCGCCGCGACTTCCGAAAGCGATCCAGGCGTCCAATGTCCAGGCGGGGGCGCGTTGGGGGTACGGAAGCCGGCCCCGCGTGCTTGAGACTAAATCTTCTGGAGTACGTTTTCTAAGTTTTGTGGACCACACGTCCTGCACAGAGACGCACATTCTGCTGACCTTCAGGGGAACTATCCACCATGAAATTTATTTTAGCCATCCAGATACCCATTCAGGTATCTTTGAAAAATGCAAAACCATGTGGGGAAAGGTTATGTTATGGTGAGTTTAAAAAGCAGGACGCAAAATAGCAATGCTAAACAAATAGAATTGTGTCTTTTCAAACTAGGCACAGAACCAAGACTGAAATAAATTTTTTTTTTTTGAGTTGGAGTCTCACTCTGTCGCCCAGACTGGAGTGCAGTGGCTGCAGACTCAGCCTGCTGGGCTCCGGCGATCCTTCCGCCTCAGCCTTCCAAGTAGCCGGAATTACAGGCATGCGCTACCACGCCCGGCTGATTAAAAATATTAAATGTGGTTATATCTGCGTGGTGGGATTGCAGTGCTGTCTTTATTTTTGCATTTCAAAGGCTTTTTAAAAATAACGAACGTGGTTTATTTCCGTAGAGGGAAAAACACTTGTATGTTTTTTTTTAAAAACACCTTCCCATATGAGACACTATTATATTTCAGAGCTGTTATGGGGATAGGAGGCATATTTCTAGGGAAGATGATCCAAGGGAATTTTCAAATATTTATTCAGGACTTTATGTTTGAAAGCTTTGATATCTCACAGTTGTTTCCCCCCCCCCCCCACTCCCATAAAGTGAATACCCCGTAGACATGCATGAGAAAATGTGGCATCATACTACCTTTAGCACTGCAGGTATAAACTCAGAGGTTTCTGATGAAGAAATAATGGGTCTTTCCAGTTGCCTGCCTGAACTAACGGTGAGAGACTTGGAAATGTAACATGTAACACCAAAGAGGCAAAGAGTGGGATTGGGTAGAAAGAAGCCTCAAATTAGATCTTTCATATGGTGTGTGTGTGTGGGGGGGCATGGCATGGAGTTTCATCGGCTCACTTCATGACCACAAGGGGACTATGTGGCATGGGATAGTGAACAGCCAGGTCTACTTAGAGAGCTCTGGGAAAGCATTGTCACCAACAGAAAGCCAGGTTTCCATTAAGATAAGAAGAGCATGCTTTGGGAGGCAGAAACAGGAAGATTGCTTGAAGCCAGGAGTTCAAGACCTGCCTGGGCAACATAGGGAGACCCTGTCTCCACACATACAAAAAAACCCAAAATAAAAAAATTAACTATAGTATGGTGAAACACCATAGTCCCTGCTACACAGGAGGCTGAGCCAGGAGAATTGCTTGAGCCCAGGAATTTGAAGTTACAGTGAGCTATGATTGCACCACTCACTGCACTCCAGCATGGATAACAAAGTGAGACCCTATCTCTAATAAAAAGAAGAAGAAGAAGAAGAAGAAAAAAAGATAAGAACATGCTGTGATACAGGAGAATTTCAGTAAAAACATTTTAGAAAGTTTGGGAAGGGGGGGTAACATTTTGTCCCAGCAATTCAAGGATTGTTTTTGACAAGAATATCATTCTCACAATAACCCATTCTTTAAAAACCAGGAACAATATTCCTCTAAGTTTGTTACCTTTCCCCTATCATCGCTAAGGCTTTCCTTCCATTTTTTTCTATCCATTTATACAGTCCCTCAAGAATTTTCTGTAGTTCATAAACTTGACATTTTATCAACCAGGAAGCTGAAGATTCTGGGTCATCATGTATTTCCTCTTGTAGATCATACAGATGTTTTAAGTCCAGACCAATTTGTTTCTTTAATCAGAAGTACCTGCAGGACACAGCTCTTTATCTTTGGTTTGTTTGCTTTTTAATTTGAAAATTTTATTGAGATTATTACAGATTCATATACAGTTGTAAGAAATAATACAGAGCTCCCCCTTCCACTTTATTGGTTTCCCCCAATAGTAACATTTTGCAGAACTATAGTACAATATCACAACCAGGATATTGACATTGATACAATCCATTGACCTTATTTACATATCCTCAATTTTACTGTATTCATGCTGTGTATTTAATTCTATATACTCTTACCATGTGTAGGTTCCTGTATCCACCACCAGTCAAGATAACAAACGCCATCACAAGGGTCCCTCTGCTGTTTTTTTTTGAGTTGGAGTCTCACTCTGTCGCCCAGACTGCTGGGCTCCGGCGATCCTTCCGCCTCAGCCTTCCAAGTAGCCAGAACTACAGGCGTGCGCTACCACGCCCTGCTGATTTTTTGATTTATTGTAGAGATGAGGTCTCACTGCCCAGGCGGGTCTTGAACCCGCGGACTCAGGGAATCCACTCACCTCAGCCTCCCAAAGGCGCAGGATTACAGGTTGAGCCACCGAGCCTGGCTCTGCTGTGCTTTTATAACCATATACCTCCCTCCTACTTCTTGCCTTAGTGTCTAATTCCTGATAACCACTAATCTGTCCTCCATTTTCAAAATTTTGTCACTTCAAAAAATGTTATATAAGTGAAACACAGCATGTAACCTTTCTAGGATTGCTTTTTTTAAAAAGGATAATTCTTTGGAAGTTCATCCAAGTTGTGTGTATCAATAATCCATTACTTTTTATTGCTGAGTAGTATTCTATGGTATGGATGTACCAGTTTGTTTAACCATTTACTTACTCACTGAAGGACATCTGGGTTGTTTTCATTAGGAACAATTATGATTCAGCTGCTGTGAACATTCATGTATGGGTTTTTGTATGAACATAAGTTTTCATTTCTATGAAATAAATGCACAAGAATGTATTTGCTGGGTGGCATAACTGCATATTTAGTTTTACAAGAACTTGCCAAACTGTTTTCAGTGACTATGCCATTTTACATTCCTACCAGAAGTGTTTGAGTGATTCAATTTCTCTACATCCTTGCCAGCATTTAGTGTTGTCACTGACACTGTTTTTACTTTGGTCATTTGAATGGGTGTGTAGTGATATCTCATTGTGGTTCCTAATGTATTATACATGTGGATAATGATGTTGAACACTTTTTTCATGTGCTTATTTGTGTATTTTCTTTGGTGAAGTGTCTGTTCATGTTCCATTTTGCCCATCTTCTAACTGTTGAGTTTTGAGAATTCTTTATATATTTTATATAGTAATCCTTTACTAGATATGTGGTTTGCAAATATTTCTAATTGGTAGCTTGTCCTTCAATCCTCTTCACTTGGGCTTTCACAGAACAGGTTTTGAGTGTGATGGGGTCCAGTTCATCATTTCTTTTGTGGATTGCGCCTTTTAATTTTATTATTATTAATATTTTAACCATCTATAGGACTCTGATTGATGTGATTGTGCTTTTGATTTCAAGACTAAGAAACTCTTCGCCTAGCCCCGGATCCCAAAGATTTTCCTCTGTTTTTCTAAAGGTGTTAGAATAAGTTATTTTGATGTATTTTTATATAAGGTTTGAGATTAGGTCAAGGTTCTTTTCTTTTGTCTAGGATGTTCAATTGCTCTAGCTCCATTTGGTGGAAGGCTGTGCTTCCTCCATTGAATTCCTTTTGGAACCTTTGTTAAAAATCAGTTGAGCAAACTCAACAACAGCAAAACCCAATTCAAAAATGGGCAGAGAGCTTCAGCAGACATTTCTCCTAAGAAGACAAACAAGCTGGGCTCGGTGGCTCAGCCTGTAATCCCGCGCCTTTGGGAGGCTGAGATGAGTGGATTGCCTGAGCCCGCGGGTTCGAGACCCGCCTGGGCAGCGAGACCTCATCTCTACAATAAATCAAAAAATCAGCCGGGCGTGGTAGCGCATGCCTGTAATTCCAGCTACTTGGAAGGCTGAGGCGGAAGGATCGCCGGAGCCCAGCAGGTCGAGGCTGTGGTGGCCAGGAGCGGCCACTGCACTCCAGTCTGGGCGACAGAGTGAGACTCCAACTTAAAAAAAAAAGAAGACAAACAAATGGCACATGAAAAGATGCTGAGCATCACTAGCCAATAGGGAAATGCAAATAAAAACCACAATGAGACAGCATTTCACACCCGTTATGATGGATATTATCCAAAAAATGGAAAGAAAAAAGAAAGTGTTAGCCAGGATGTAGAGAATTTGGAACCTTTGTGCATTGCTGGTGGAAGTGTAAAATGTTATAACCACTGTGGAAAACAGTTTGGCAGCTCCTCAAAAAGTTAAACATAGAATTATCATATGATCTAGCAATTCCACTTCTAGGTATATGCCCAAAAGAATGGAAAGAAGGGACTCAAACAGATACTTGTACACCAATGTCCATACTAACATTATTCACAATAGCTAAAAGGTGGAAACAACCCAAGTGTCCATCAACAAATGAATGGATAAACACAATGTGGTATATGTACACAATGGAATATTGAGCATTAAAAAAGAATGAAATTCTGATATATGCTACAACATAGATGAACCTTGAAAACGTGCTAAGTGAAATAAGCCAGACACAAAAGGACAAATATTGTATGATTCCGCCTATATTAGCTAGAAGGGACAAATTCATAGAGACAGAAAGTAGACTAGAGGTTGCTAGGGTGTGGGGGAGGGGGAAGCAGAGCGTTATTGTTAAAGTGCACCAAGCTTCTGTTTGGATGATGAAAAACATTTTAGAGGCAGATGATGGTAATGGTTGCTAACATTGTGAGTATACTTAGTTTCACTAAACTGTACACTTAAAAATGGTTAAAATGGTAACTTTTATGGGTATATTTACCACAATAAACATTTTTAATCAGTTGAACATATTTGTGTAGGTATAACTGCTTTTCTTCTAACTCCTAAATTAGGTTTTTCCCCACAGTTCTACATAGCTTGAACTTTAAAGTGGGACCTTTATCTATGCTTATTGATCTTAACGATAACAGGGTCACCAAGTAGATTTCCCCTCATTGAAAC